CCCTGCTGCACAACGGTATAGCATAGCTACCCTGCTGCTACCCTGCTGACATCCTTCAAAAGGATCTCTGCAGTCAGCTGTGTTTTCCTCACATTATATATTTTGGTGTTTGCTAATGGGTATTTATCTGTCATTCCAGTTTTCAGCAAGTATTTCAGAAAATTCACTCAGTTCAGAACTGCTACGGATACAAGCTCTGGATGCTGACGAAGACTTTACAGACAATTGGTTAGCAGAGTTTTTCTTTATATCTGGGAACGAAGATAACTGGTTTGAAATTGTTACAGATCGAGCTACAAATCAAGGAATCCTTAGAGTAATTAAGGTATGGATAAATATTGTGATTCAACTGTTGAAATAATCATCTTAAAATAGTTTTAATTAATTGTTAGCAAAATTAAATGAGCAGTAAAAACACTGTCACTCAACCATTTCAAATAGAAAATATTTAAATAAAATTAAAGGAACTTTTATTTATTATCTAGTTCTCTGTGGTTTATCTTTTAGGAACTAAATTATGAACAACTCCAAACTCACTCACTGATGATTGGTGTCAGGAATGTAGCTGCCTTCCACCACTCTGTTGCACATGACTTCCGAATATCTGGAACACCCCTCACAATAGAAGTAAAAAATGTGATTGAACCACCAAGATTTCATCCATCTTCAGTTGTGTTTTCTGTATCAGAAAGCACAAGAGTGAATTACGTTGTGGGAACATACACAGCCATTGATGAGGACACTGGAGCTATTGCATCAAATGTTGTGTAAGCTCTGCTCTGCTTTACTCCGTAGATGGAATAATTCTTTTAACTGAGATTTCAATAGGATGAGGAATAGGTATTTTAAAGGGTGCTTTAAAAAACAACTTAAAAAATGCTAACAGAGTAGCGATAGAACAACAGCAATAGAATAGTATATTCTTCAGCCCATTTTTATGCTATAATTGCTTTTGTTTCCTGGCCTACTTTCCTTAGCCTTGTGCACAAGACAAAGAAAATATCATTTTTCTAACAGGCTGTAACTTAAATAAATCAGAACAGATTTTTTTTCCAACCTAACCTAAGAATATTTTTTCTTGAAATGTTTGCTACAAATAGGGAATTTGTTAGCACCTCTAAAAAAGCAAGTAGAAAACCCCAATAATGGGCAATATTATACAATCAGAATAGAAGAAGTCACTACCAGCTCATTCTATAGTTAAAAAAAAAAAAATTATTTGACATTTATTTCTTCTGAAATCAATGGTAATTAGTGGGACCATAATTTGCTTTTTAATGTATGTAGAAATAAATACCTCCCATTTACAAAGGTTTGAAAAGTTTTCACAAAAAAGAGAAATATGTTAGCAAATACGACTGTAGAATGTTAAAGGAAGAGCTGTGGATTTAATTACTGATATCAGCAAGGGTTCTAGTAAAGGTTTACAGGGTCCAGAAAGATCTTACTTTTAGACTATGATACCACTTTCAAAATATAATGGACTTCTACGCATTTACTTTATTCCTAATTATTTTTCTGGTCTACATCTTTTGAAGTCTACAGGAATTTTGCTTGAACAGGGTGAGATGCAATAGGACCTAGCGCAGCCTAAAGAAAAATATTCCGAAGTGATAAATAATATTTGCAAAATGAATATGTAATACATATAGTCATAACATAATGCTGAGTATTTTTACTTCACCAATACAGATATAGTATAGGACGTGATCCAGGTGCCTGGTTCAGAATCAACCAAAACACTGGTGAAATCACACTGAACAAAGTTATTAACCGGGAATCGATCTATGTAATCAATGGGCAGTACAGAGCAGAGGTTCTGGCTATCACCAGAGGTAAGAAAAAAGATAAAGTTTTCTGAAACAAAATTTTCTTTGTTCCAGATTTCTGTCAATGTTTTTTCCTGTTTCTAGTTTTGCCACCCGAACTGCATTATTTACAGTATCAATATTCCATCCTGACCACAAATATCTTCTTTTTACAGGGGTTCCTCGATATACTGCTACTGGCACCATTGTGCTTTCAATACAAGACATCAATGACAATTGCCCAACTATTAATACTGAATTAAGGAAAGTATGTATGCATTCCCCATCAGTGATTATCACAGCAAAGGCTATGGATGGTCATGCATATGGTCTCCCCTTTACATTCAGCATACATGGTGAACCTCAAACTACATGGATTATCAGATCAATAAATGGTAAATTAACCTACATTTTATAACAGAATAAACCAGAGTAATAAGTCTTAAGAGATTAGGATAACCTTTTAATAACAAACAAAACAGTTATTAGAATCTATTCTAATCTCTCTTAAATGTGATTTTATGCTCATATGAATCCAAAAAGTTGCTCTGGATTCGCATATATATATATATATAAAAATCATATTAGAACTAGAATAAGAATAATTACATATGTTTTATCGAGTTATCATCTTTTAAAGGAAAATAAAAATATACTGATAAAAATAGAGCAGCAAAACTGTACTTTGCTGGAGTGCAGCTATAAGCACCTCCATTGGTCTAAACCTAGTGAGGTAATTCAAAAGGAGTAATTTGATACCTTTTTATTTCTATATTATCTAAAAAATTCTAAGCATATGACAAAACTCTCAAATTTATTTATTAGAGTATAAAGTTATTAGTTGGCAGAGCTTTACTTTTATGAGAGGCATATGAAAATGGCAAATAAAGATTACAGCTTTTGCGATTTATTGTACAAATTGTACTTACTTGTATTTCTAGGGAAAATGTTTTAGTCAGTGCCCAGTGGAGCTTTTCCAGTTTCCTCCAATAGGACATAACAAACTAATGAATTAATCAAATCTCATACATTACTAAATGACAGAATTTGCGTAACTTACTATATGCATAGAAGACTATATTAAATGGTAAATATCACAATTACAACTACTCTTGTGTCTCCTATTTGTTTTAAACAGATGCAAATCTGTAACTAAATATTTTTAAACTACTGGAAAAACTTTTGAAAAACACATGTAAATACCTTGTGAGAGAGAAAAAAAAACGTATAAAACTTGCAATTTTTATGTTCACCATTGTGCGAATAAAAATCAGGAAAAGCAGCAGTAGATATAAAAAAGTGCATTTGCCCCTTCTATATTTCTCAGGTTAAAAAGTGATAACTAGACTGATCTGACTCAGGTTTTCCAAAAGAAAAAACTAGCATAGATGAATCTCATAAGTTTCAGCTTTGCATAAGTACTGTAGACACATAAGTAACTGAAGATCTTAGAATGGGAACACCTAGTCTTCGTTCTGTTCTATGAACATTACTCACAAAAATTATAGATTTGTACAGTATTTATAGTCAATACCTTAATCTAAATATTTTTTCTCTTTTTTTTTTCCCCAAAGCTTCCTCTGCAGAACTAGTGAGTCAGAACATTGACTTTTACATGTATAGGATCTATATCAGCGTAAGAGATAACCAAGGCCGACGTTGCGCTAAACCACATATAATTCCTGTGCAAGCTTGTCAGTGCGATAGTCGTAATTACTGCACCAGTGGGGCCACGAAAGTAATTATCATCGGTGGCCGTGATGGTAGCGGCAGTGGCGGCAATGATGGAGGAGGCCAGGTAGATGGAGGAGGCCAGGTAGATGGAGGAGGCCAGGTAGATGGAGGAGGAAGAGGACAAGATGGTGATGGTAATGGAGGAAGAGGAACTGAGGACCACACGTACTGGCAGACTTACACTGACGGATACAGTGACGGTGATGGAGGATTTACTGCAGCCACTGATGATACTTTTAATGGAAATGGAAATGACAGAGATTTCCTATCTTCTACCACACTTAGCGGTGCTGCCATTGGCCTGATGTTTCTTGGTGGATTAATATTTGTTCGTAAGTATAAAATTCAGAAAACAATTTTATTAATTTTCTAAAAAGTGTATTTTTTTCATTTTTCTAAAATAAGGTGACTTTTCTGGTTGGTTGTTAGCCTGTTGGCTCTATTTCCTTCCTAAGACTTAGGGTTTTTTTCCTAAGGTCTCAGACCATCAGAAAGGGTAAAAATGTTTAGTAAAAGATTCAGAAGATTTTGGGCAAGAGCTGTCCCTGTCACTTACAACTTACACTTTGCAATTCGTACTTCCGTTACATTACAGAAAAGAAATGGACAAGTATCAGCTCCACGTTGGGTATGAAAAAATGTAAAGAACATGCTTCCCTTGAACTCAAAGCCAGATTTCAGTAGTAGAACAGTAAATATAATCATCTTAAATTTTGAACCTTTTGGCTATTGCTGCCAAACATTACATCTATTAAAAACAAGTAGCATTTGTGATGACAGGATCAAAACAGATCATTCGTTGTATTTTTGAAGAAATATGAGTTTCAGGGATAAGAATGACTCAAGTTAGCCTTTATGCAAGGAGTTACTTCTCAGACCACCACAATCAGATGTGACCGTCTTTCTTTCATGGCCTGTGCATCAAGCAATCAACATCTAAAATTTCCCAATGCAGAAATACTGACTACAAAACCAGAGGAAATGGATTTTTCCCCTGATTTTTTGAGGAGGGGGGTTTGTTTTGGATTTTGATCTTTGATTAGTAGGAATCAACAAACACAAAATTTTCAAGCTGCAAAAGGCTGTTTTGTTTGTAGTTCCCAGGTGGTTAATGTTACAGGACAGACTGTCTTTCTGCCTTTGGAATTCTCCTCTCCTAGTTGGTAGTCTGGATAAATATGTCCTTAGTCGTGCAGTGTGAGGTAGCACTTTGTACACTGTACAGCCTTTTCCTCTTTTCAGTTCTCTTCAGATGTAGGCAACTGTCTCTCCCCACTCCCTCTGCAGCGATACGAGGTTACTAACTTAGCCAGCTAGGATAAGGACGTAAGGACAGCCAGAATTAACACTACAGGGCCTTTCTAAAACGAGCAATGATGTTTTCAATGTTGGCGTTTAAAGCATTCAGCAAGTTCCAACACTGAGTTCTTGAAACAACTAAGTGTGCTACAGCACACTAGGAAACCTGACTCACTCTATGTAATCATTTGTTAAAACTGGGGTTTGGGGTTTGCCTCTATTGTTTTTTCAAATCAAGCATTATGTATATGCGATGTGAAAAATGCAACTGGAGCCTTAGCCAAAGATCACTGTAGCCAGATGGATCTCTCTCCAATGATTCTCATACGTCTATTATTACTAATGTGTATTTCTTTTCAACTACAATATCTGAAGAGACAAATGTATGCTTATATATCAAGAATGAATATCACTGAATGCTATACATAGCAAGACTGGTTCTGTTTGTTTAATTTTCATATGTATGCAACTTATATTCATTCAGCTGAGATAGATCAAAGTCTGTTCCCATGTGTATAGGCATAAATTTGGAGTAACAGCCCTACTCCACCCCCGCTTTGCTCTGCTATAACTAAAGGTACAAATTATTCTGAATTTCCAAATACATACATTTCCAAAAGCAGCCAATGATGCTGAAAGCCAGACTTGCAGGCTGCTTGGTTTGAAACATTTTAAAAGACATATTTTCAAAAGTTCTTGAGCACCTGCCCTCTGGGAAAAGCAGCTATTCCTGCGAGGAAGAGATGTCCTAAATCCCTCTTTCCTGTTTCTTTCCTGTTAAGTGATTCCAATTTTGATGTCAATGAGCGACTGTTGTGGCTGTGGACCTGGCGCTGCAGGTGGAGTTGGAACTGGCTTTGAACCTGTACCTGAATGCACAGAAGGGGCAATTCATCCATGGGGAATAGAAGGAGCACAGCCTGAAGACAGGGTCAGTACATCCCATGTTTCTAAAACCCGCAATGACTCATGTTTACAGAAAAGACTGCATTTGACTAGAAGCACAAAAGTGATTGTAGCACTGTGACATCTTCTAAAAGAAGCCTGGCATTGTCAACAATTGCCAGGTAGATATGAAAGGTGACTCTTAATTAACATTTGCAGATGGAGTTTGTGTGTTTTAAGTTGTGTTCACTTAGCTTGGCCCCCAACAGTTTGGTGTTACTATTCCCTCAGCCGAAACACAATAACTAGCAAGCTTTTTCAGTGCAAAGTAGGACAAGGTAACACAAACCATCTTGATCACTTTTTACGTTGACAATGAAAGAAACTTGAATGGAGACTTTTTTTTTTTTTTTTAATGGGGATGGTAATTAATAGCTATCATATTAACAGTTTAGACTGCTAATTCCTTAACATGATTCACAAAGTCTTAGTCTTTATATGGAAATTTCAAAAATTTCATCATTCAAGAGTCAAAATGTTGTTTTCCAGGATGTCTCACACATTCTTGCCCCAACAACAGCTGCAGGAGGTGATTTTGGTGAACCCTCTGGTAAGCAGACCCTAAAATTTTCTACGTGCGCTGTCATAAAGCTATCTTTCAGAACTTCATGTCTTCTGATTCAAGGAGCACTTTGGTTTCACAGCTATAACCCAACCCTTCCAATCTTACATCTGCAGATAGTCAAACTGATGCTAGTAGGACTTCCAGTATGAATGAAGGATCTGAGGTTTGAGCCTTTGAACAGATTAATTGCTGCAAACTACATTTATTTTGGAATATCTGCCAAGGCTTTCAAATCTCAATTTTTCTTTATCATTCCAGCTAGTGAATGGAGGGTCTTTTCAAGACATCAATTTTAGTAGAAATCAATCTTGAGGCCAGAATAAGGAAATTTTCTTTCATGACACAGTGGTGAAAGGTTCAGTTCTTCCCAGTTTCCAGGCTCTGCTTCCCACAAGGGAGAACAGGACCTGTCAAGTAGCCAGTTAATTACTGACCATTTGTGCACTAGCCTAGACAGAAAGCTGGTACATAGGACAATAAACTTATGCTTCTGAGACAAGGTTCCCCCAGGAATTTGATGGCCATAGAGAATAAGTCAAGCTGTGCAGTGCCACTTTCTCTTTTTCCCCATTCCTTACTCCACAACAGGAAGGAAGGATGCCGACAGAGATCCATTTTCACTAGCTTCTGACAGGAAGAAATGTCACTCTGCAAGACAACTTTTCTGATGACTATTGATTATTCAAAAATGTTCTCATCCTTAAGGTAAAATTAAAAGAGAACATTTTGGGGCATAAACGTGAATTAAGAGTCTTCATTCTCAGGGAAGTTCTGCTGCCATGACAATTGAAAAGTTTAAGACTTACACAGGTGATTTACTTTATTTCCACTGTTCAGTACCATTATGGTGAAAGCCCCTGGTTCAAATTCTATAAACTGAGACTAACAAGATTAAATGAAAAAACCAATACAATTTAGCCTATGTTTCTTAATGTAATCATAGTCAAGACTACTGTATGCAATTGGTTTATTATATTACATGCTGACATTTAAGACCACTCATTCCTTGTTATCATATATGAAAAAATCTGAAGAAGATAAAATCCTATAAGTATGACTTTATAATTTAATGTAAAGGTCATTTTCTTTCTGCATTATGAACACTGGTAGTTATTATGACCCATTGTTGTTCTCCCAAATCACCCTTAACAATCTAAATACTAGAAAATCCGAAAGGAGTTACAAAGCTATTTCTTTTAGAAAAGAGTTTAAGGCAAAACAATTTTAACCCCAATGTGATCATAAATATACATTTATGGATTTGCATAAATATCCATAAGCATTATTTGATTTTCTAATGCAAATCGCATGACAGCATATATGTACACCAGACAGAGGAATCTCTCCAGTCAATTACACAAATAAATAATTGATTTTCTAAAGCACATATGCACACGCTGCCTAGGCTCAGGAATAAAATCAAGGTCTTAGATGTCTGCTTATTAATATGCGCTTAATTTTTATTGCAGTTTCAATAAAAATTGGCACCTGTGCACGGATCTGTGACTGAAATTAGTCTAAAATATCTTTAGAAACTCAGTAGTATCCTTGTACTATTTGTAAAAACAACTGGAAAATTCTGTAAATTTTTGCAGAGCACAGGAAGGATAACTTTTTCTGTTTTCAGACATATATACAAACACATACGGAGGAGGAGGAGTAGTAGCTTCTGGTGTTGAAGAAACTACAGGGGTTGGCTATGGCACTGGTACTGGTTACGGTACAGCTGGAGGAATTTCTGGAACAGGGGAAGCAAAAGGGTCAATTGGAGGAACAATAAAAGAGTATCGAGAAGGAGGGGTGAACATGGCCTTCCTAGACAACTACTTCTCTGAGGTAATTACCTGATCTTCTTTGCATTATATCTGTGAGCTTACTGTTAGATTCTCCTCCCCAAGTTACATGATGGAAATCCAAAATAACTCCACTCAAATTGAAACTTCCGTGATATAAGACTGGTGTGAGAGCAAAGCTGACCTACTAATAGGAAAAACTACAACACCAGTAGTACTGCTTTTGAGCTGCTGCTGTAGTAGACTTGATTGCTCAATAGCCTTTTTGTAAAACTGATGGATATGCTGCAGGTATGGGTAGCAAGCAATTAAATTATTTCAGCTTCATAAGTGACCACCAAATTTACATTTGCCACCTTTTTCAGTGTATAAATAGATAATAACTTTGTGAAATTGTTCACACGTACGTCCTGTACAGCTTGTTTAATGAAGTGACTTTAACTCTTGAAGAACTGTGAACACCAGTTCACTTTCTTCCTTATTTTTATTACCATTTCTGTTCCCTAAAAGACTTGTGAACTGCAAGTGACACAAATATGCAGTTTTGTAATTGGCAACATATTAATTAGTCTTTACATATGGGATAAAAAAATGCTAATGAGTTTCCGTGATTAATGGATTAATGGGATATATTTTCGTAATTAGCATGAACTGGTTTCAGCTGGAATAGAGTTAAATTTCTTCATAGAGCTGTGTTTTGGATTTAGTATGAGAAGAATGTTGATAACACACTGATGTTTTCAGTTGTTGCTAAGTACCCTGCTAGTCAAGGACAGCTCCCATGCTCTGCCAGGTGGACAAGAAGATGGGGGGGAGCATAGCCAGGACAGCTGGCCCAGCTGGCCAACAGGATATTCCATACCATATGACGTCATGCTCAGTATTTGAGTGGTAGGCGTGTTCCAGGAAGTAGCGATCGCTACTTGGTTGTCGGTCAGCGCGGGTAGTGAGCCATTG